CCCCCATTCATTATTTTCCTGTACATGCAAACAAAATTATACAATTCCATTTCAACATTTCGGCCACAAAATTAACGAAAATGACATACTTCTGAGTGGTAAATTTTTTAGATCATACCGAAAAGTTTTTCTAAAATTTGAATAGTAGATGTTTAATAAAAAAGTTTATAGTCATATGCAGGTGTTCAATTGAAACAAGTCTTAGTTCAAGTGTCTAAATAAAATTTGCGATTCAAGTTTGAGGTATTGTCAATGTATTAACCCTTTGATTTATAATCATATATGATGTATAGTCTATCTACTAAGTTCATATATCGAAGCATTTATAAGTTTATTTTTATCTTGTAGATTGCCAATTTTGTTTGTTTTAAAAGTTAGTGAATATTGTAATTTGTACATAACAAAATAGTAGGGATCTGATTTGTTTTCATTGAACACAACAGCAGTTGATCGATCGTGGCTAATGATCCGTGAATTACGCCTACATATTGTTTTGTTTTTTACTTTGTGAATTCGACCTCTTGGAAATTGAGGACCCCAAATATATTATAAATAAAATACTCTACAAAACTACTACCTGAACTTCACTTAAATGCTCTTAGAGCTTTTACTTCATCACCTAGCAATTAACCACTTAATTCATTTTTTTAAATTATTTATTTTAAGGGGGACTGAGTTGGTGTAACAGATGATGTGTAGAGAAAGAATAGCAAATGCAAATTTCTCCATGTGGTTTCAAATTTTTTTTTGTAGTCATTACACTGTTGATCAACTACAAGTAACTGCTCATAACAGAAGCTTTAGTAACATGATTAAAAATAAGGTAGGCAACCGTTACAAGAAGTTAAAATACGTTAGTAGAAAAATTGTTTACATTATTAACGTATATTTAATTTAATAGCTAAAATACTCTTTAAAATATCATGTCCAATACCAACAACGGTGTCATGGTATTGGGAAACTTGAAATTGTTTGAATACCCTCTTCTGGAATGGGTTTTTTTTTTTTTTTTAATTTTTAACTTTGAGGTGAGGTTGAGAAGGTCCTTAATTTTATAAATATGAGTTATGATACAGTGGTGAGACATCCTTAATCAGAAATTTCGGGTTTGAGCCTTGGTATGAAAAGATAATGTTTGGAGCGCCACCACCGAATAGACTGTGGAGCGCAATTTAAATTTTATTGGGGCTCCAATGTGACTTCCGGACATCGGGTGGAAGAAAAAAAAGAAAAAGAGAAGGCCCTCAATTTTAGGAATATGAAGAATGTATATGAGAGTGCTTAAAAATATAAGAATTGAGGAAGGATTAATATATTTGCAAAAAGTTTGGTTCGTTAGGTATAGTAATCAGGTGTTAACATATATTCCGATTGAATTAGAATCTTTGTAAATGTAACATGTTCCAATGAAGGTCCAAAAATCATCAATAGAGGTTAATAATATATACTCCTACAAACTGCCTAAAGTTTTTTTTTTTTTTTAAATCTAATTAAGGTGATTGTACCGTACATTTCCGTTAGAAGTCAAACTTTATTATACATTATGATATTTAATAGAATAATTACGCAAATTTTGAGAACTTTGCCACTTTCCGTACCCTACTTAAATTTAGATTATTTAATTAATGTATTCTTACCGTAATTATTTAATTGGAATTGAGTTATTCGTGGTGAAAAAATTGCAAGCTACATCCTCACCAAAGCAAGATAACATAAAATATGTTATTTTCAGAAATCAAAAGTCAAAAATACCAGACTATTGGATGCATATTGGGCTAGGTGAAACAACTTGACCACGTTGTGTTTTTTTTGTTTCTCCCTTTCACCTAGACTGATTTAATTTCTCGTGATCACTTAATTAATTATTATTATTTCATAAAATCATTTTTTTCGTTGTAAGAAATGCGATTTTTTAGTTAATAATTATTAGTCAATTAGTGATCATATGATAAACCAACTCGTTAAATTTGTCATGCAATTTGTAGTCTTTTTAAGTTAAAATGAAAAGTTCTACCAAAAAAAAAAAAGGTCTAAGAACTCTATAGAAATTCTAGACACACAATGGAAAATCAGAGATATATATATTTAAAGTAATGATGCTAGGATTGTCTCTAATTATGTCAACTTAAAAAGACAGGACATATTGGTCTGCGTAGTTAATTGGGATGTTTTATTATTATAATAATTAATAGGGAACAGATCTTTGGTGATGATTATATAAATTAATCATTCCTTAATAACCTACATTCCTTCTGAATTGGATAATATTCATTCATTTTAAATACAAAAACAACGTTGTAAACATTATGATTAATTCCTTGATTTCTTATAATAATAATGTAGGAGCTTGCTGATGTTTCGTTAATAATAAATTATTTCATTAGGGGTTTTACTTTAGAACGATTAGGTACTGAGTACTGACTAATGACTACACATATGAAATGAAGAGCGTAAACTTAATGCGACAAAGAAAAATGGGTAGAGCTGATATTTTTTCATAGTTTGATACATGAAAAATCTTTTTAATAATTAAAAAGACGATAGATAAATGCTAAAATGCATGGTGTGCCTAGTAATTGAATCATGTGACCATTTTATTTATTAAAAAACAATTAAATTATTAATATTATATATATTTAACGTCTCTGTATTCTATAGATCTTGATTAATAGAAAAGAAGCAAAGTCAAAGTTTACAAGTAGTATGGTTTGTCGACTATCCCTACGACTCCCCGTGTGATATGTCACTCTGATTTGATACAGCAAATGAGCGAGTCTAGTTAATTAAAAAATGAGTTAAATAAAAATAGATAAGTTACTCAACTCAACTCACATTTTAAATGGATAAAAACGAGTTATCTAATGGATAATATGGGTACCCATATTTACCCATATTATAATAGAAATCTTGTTAAAAGCTTTTAAAACAAAAAAAATTAAAAGTTTTTTTATCACTTCACTCCACCCCCTACCAGACCCCTAACCCATCCCCAAAAAAATAAAAAAATTACCACACCACCCCTACGCCCTACCAGCCCCCCCCCCCTCCACACCCCATCCAAAAAAAAATTACAAAATTTTAAATTCTTTCCAATAATTTTTTTTTTTAAAAAAAAATTTACCAACCCACCCCCTATCCCCAAAAAAATGTAAAAATAAAGTTTCATTTTTTTATAGATTTTTTTTTTAAAAAAAAAAAAACTTTCTTACTACCCCACCCTTTATCACTTATTTTTTGTTTGTGTGAATGCACATCTTTTTACCCATTTTATCCATTTAACTACCTACTTTTAAATGGATAATATGGGTATTATTCGTTTTTACCCATTTTTAAATGAGTTGGATACCCGACCCATTTAAGATGGGTAAATATGAGCGGATACTCATATTAATTATCCATTCTGCCACCCCTAGATACAACTCACAAAAAATGTCAAAAAATATCTCATTATCCCCGAGGAGCCTTTAACTTCTGGCATGTATCAGACCTTAATATATATTCGGATATCAAATATTTATACCAAATCAATTTTTTAATTTATTATAATATATAGTGAAAATATACATTAGTTGATTATAATTAAGTGTTTCAAGTGTATATACATATATATAATATGCATTTATTGATTAACAAGAATTTCTTAATATTTATGGATTCCGGATACATCACTAGCCTTCCAGATACTTATGGGAAGGGATGTATTAGAGAGGGGATATGACATCCGGATATATAAGCGAGGAATGTATCAGAGAGAGGAGAGATGTATCAGAGAGGGGAGGGATGTATCCGAGAGGGAGATAGGGATGTATCACCGAGAGGGGAGGGATGTATCAGAGAGGGGAGGGATGTATCCGAGAGGGAAGGAATGTATCCAAGAGGGAGATAGGGATGTATCACTGAGAGGAGAGTGATGTATCCGAGAGGGTATGCTTGAAATATTTTTAAATGGTAGGAAATTTTAGAGATTATGATAAAATAAGATGTGTATTTAGGTAATTTTTCCTAAAATGATCTTTTAAATATATATGTAGCAAATGTGGAATCTCCAATGACTTTTTTATCGATTTAGGATAAAATAAGATGTGTATTTAGGTAATTTTTCCTAAAATGATCTTTTAAATATATATGTAGCAAATGTGGAATCTCCAATGACTTTTTTATCGATTTAGGATAAAATAAGATGTGTATTTAGGTAATTTTTCCTAAAATGATCTTTTAAATATATATGTAGCAAATGTGGAATCTCCAATGACTTTTTTATCGATTTAGGATAAAATAAGATGTGTATTTAGGTAATTTTTCCTAAAATGATCTTTTAAATATATATGTAGCAAATGTGGAATCTCCAATGACTTTTTTATCGATTTACTTCTTCATATTAAACCCGATAACTAAAAAACTCTGACTTCACCATTACAATGGATCTCAAAGACAATAATTTTCACTAACACTCACAATGAAAGTACTATACAGATTTGAGACTGAAGATAATTATCAATGCAACTATTACAATTATTGCGGTTGGTCTATGTTTCCCTTTCAACATTTTTTAAAGTGGCATCGGAAACTTAAACTGAAATACACATTTAAGGAAAGTACAAAATCTCATCAGTATATATCACTAGTATAATAGTTGTTCTAGCAAGTTGAATTTAATTTGTTTGAAAATAGTTGAACATTTTAGGGAAAAAAGACGTGACTATATCTCCAAATCTGCCCTTATTCAATCAGTGGAGGTGTTATTTAAGTGAAATGTTAGTGGATAGATAAATGATTATTTTAACAAATATTCTAGAAGGCAATAAGGAATAATAAAAAGAGAACTAGCTATTACAAGATTTTATAATAAGGAACAAATGTTAAAAAATGGAACTTTAATACATCAACTAACACCTAAATTATTAAAAAAAAAAAAAAAAAGGAAAATTACAACTGAGCCTTTTCTCTTATACTTTTACAAAATGATAAGAATATAATTGAATAATATTAATTATTAAAAAAAAAAAAAAAAAAGGAAAATTACAACTGAGCCTTTTCTCTTATACTTTTACAAAATGATAAGAATATAATTGAATAATATTTGAAATATGAAAAAGAGGCATATTAATATTCAAAGTATTGCACATAACGTCCTTCTTTTTTGGGGCCTTTTCTTCATCTTAGGGGGTCGCAATGCTACCTTAATTGCAGTATCAAATACAGCTTTCACATTCTGAAAAAAAATAAAATAAGATTGTTTATTTAGAGTGTAATTATTGTTCTAAGTATTGATTAATCTATAACGGAATTGTTAATTAATACCTGCTGAGTCTTGGAGCTGCACTCAATGTAGGCAACTGCTCCTATCATCTTTTTCAACTCCTCTCCCTAATTAAAGAAATAACAGAGTAATAAGCTCTTTTTTTTGTTAATCACTGATTAAAAATTTTAAAGTATAGTTAGTATAAGTGACTCATTTTATGTTGTAGAGATTTATGTTATTTGTTTGAAAAGTTGACCACAAAAACTCATACTTTTATATTAAAATGAAAAACTTCTTGTATATATACACATATGATGATATACAATGATATCCTTTCAAAAGCTCTTTGTATACATATATAATATATAATGATTTCATTTTCTGCAATTTGTCTCCACATATACAAGCCAAACCACTCGATGGCTAGTACCCGCTTTGCGTGGGAAAGTCAGACAACTCCATTCCCAAGATCTCTGATTAATGATGGAGGAATACTTATCGGCTCACTACCAGGCATCAAGATAGATAATGTATCAATTTGTTTGGAATTAAATTAAGACCTTTTTGTTTTTAGAAATTTGCTAATGATTGCAAGTCAATAATGGGACTCACCTGGGCAGTTGATATAGGAGTAGCCCCTGGATGATCACTTAAATATTGTTTGTCTTCCCTCAGGTCTAGCAAAATTAAATTTAAACAGGTATAAATCATATTGCACATTAGGTTATAATATGTGTTTTGATATATAATTATGACAAACTTAAAGATAATGAAATATTAAGTTGATCTTACCAAGTTTAGTTCCCACCAGAACAATTTGTATAGTAGGAGCATAGTGCCTTAACTCAGGAATCCACTGTTTGATGATCAACAATTAGAACTTTTGGTAAATGATTATCAAAAAATAAATCGCTAATGTACAGGACTAGAAATAGGGAAAATTATGTTTTAATATCTTTGGATCATCTAATTTTACGGTGTATAAATAATGTATACTTTATACTAAATATATGTATGGTATACATCCGTATACACAATATATACAGCCAAAGTGTATAAATGATATATACTTCGACCATGTTGATAAACTAGATGGCCGAGTATATTTACATAATTTCCCAAAAATATAAATGCACTAACCTTTTTGTAAATGTTCTCATAGCTTGCCTTGCTTATTAGAGAAAAAGCAAGCAAAAAGACATCAGCTCCTCTGTAACTTAATGGCCTTAGCCTGTTATAGTCTTCCTGTCCTGCATTTCACAATCAACTATTCAACAACACACAAAATCAAAATGAAATGTTCTTATATACCTACAAACAATATCCAAAAATATTCCCTCCAATGATATAAGTGAGGAATAAAAAAGACTCATAGTAGAATCAAAATTTTATATATGCACCCAAAGGTGTGGTCTAGTGGTCAATGAAATGGGTCGAGAACCATGAAGTTTCAGGTTCAAATTTCATCATAGACAAAACAACATTAGTTGATTTCTTCTCATCTGTCCTAGTCTTGGTGGACAAAGTTAACTGGTACTTGTTACTGGTGGAAACTAACATATATCCATGAAATCAATGGAGATGCACGCAAACTAACCCAGACACCACGTTATTAAAAACAAATCATATGGTGGAATAAATTTAGTATCTACGTAAATCCTACCCTCCTTAGAACTCCAACTTGTGGGACGACACCTGGTAGATTATTGTTGTAAAATAAATTTACCTGCAGTATCCCACAGGCCAAGGTTAACAGTGCTACCATCCACCACCACATTTGCACTGAAGTTATCGAACACCGTTGGAACATAATCCTATGGAACAACATTAATCTTATGAAGTTAACAACTCGTATACATGAAACGAAGAGAAGATTAAAGAAAAAAAGTGAATAATATATATTACCGTTGGAAAAGTATTACTAGTGTATGAAATTAGCATACAAGTTTTCCCAACAGCTCCATCACCAACAGTAACACATTTGATGAATCTAGCAGTAGTCATCTTCTTATAAACTTACTGCTTTGTTTCTTCTCTACAAGTTTTTTTAAAGATGAGAAACACTTTGTTTTTATTCTTCAATGATACATCTATCTTCTTAGCTAGTATATATCCTTCAAATACTTTTTTCTTTTCTCCTAATCATAACACCAACTTGTTTAAGTTAAAATAAGTGGATTTTGAAACTTAATGAAAAGATATTTGGCAATGTGGAGAGGGTTGGCATATTGGATTATACACCTAAGCAATCATTGCTTACACCACCCTTTTTACTTTCCTTTAACTTCAAGGCCAGATAGCCAAATGAAATAAAAAGGGGTTAAATTTTTTCAAAAAGAAAGTTTGTAAAGTAGGTGTAGTGGTGAGTGTTGGTTGGTTTAAGTGTTGAAGAAGCAATTTTATAAAGGATCAAAAGAGGGGAAAGGTTGCTTAATTGGACTATATACTATGATGATCAAAATAGAATATTTCAACAAATGAAAATTAAAAGTAGAGATATTTTCATAAATACACGTCCAACACAACAATTTTCATCCACATATATAGTGACCTAACTTTCAAATTATATACCATATGGATTAATTCAGTTAAGGGTTGAAAAACATGACTCATTTTAGTTACAAGTTTAAGTCAGGCAACTCATAATTGAGATTGAGAGTATAAGAGTGTCTTAGTTCAACTCGTTACGAAAACAAGTTTAAAAAATAGATAAAGAGAAAGACACATGAGACTAGTTCACTTTATTGTTTCTGCTTACCTTTAATGAAATTCACAATGATTAACGAACTTCATGTTCATATTAACTAAAAAGAAAAGATATCTGGAACTAGAACCCAAAGAATCTTTCATAGGCCTACTACCGTTACTGCAGTTCAGCTGGTCAGTACAACATTTGAAATGAGTAATTGTTGGGTCAACTGTTGTACAACAGCTTGGCTACTGATTCAATCTAACAAAGAATTCAAGCATACCAAAGGGCAAGGAAAAAGATTAAATAAACTCTTTTAGCACAAAGGCTATTATCTTATTCAAAGGCTCAGGAGATGACACGACTAATATGGAAAGTGCAACAGAGGCAGCGGACTATGATTCGTACTGGAGCATAATATGGGATGAACAACCTAAGCGAGCCAGGTCAAGAAAGGAAGTTACACAGCAATACAGAGCAGCAATTTGGCCGTTGTGAGCAGCGCGGCAACAGAGAGGAAAAGCATACGCATAGCTTGAACTGGCTATGGGAGAAGTCAGGTAAACTCCGCGGAACTTGCATTTAAATTCCTGCAACAATTGGATTTTAGGTGATCAACTCCAGAATAGTCATAGGCTTTCCCTACTCTGTAGTCGCACCAAACTCACAATTTCATCAAAACTTTGTTCAATTCTGATGATACACGTCTACTAAGCTCACCCAAGGTGTGTATGACATAAGTAGCCAGAAACTTGATAGTCAAGTTTGAAAAAAGCTGGTGAATATCACTATTTTATGCCCAAGATTAAAGAGAAATACAAAGTATGGAGCCAATACACGAAGAATCAAATCACATATATATTGTGGGGCGCCTAGAAGTGGAAGGAAAGGAACCTCAGTAACACTGAGGTCGTGTTTTCACTCTACAGCCAATCAAACACAGGGAAATAAGGGAGAACCACTTATTTTCATACCAAACACCACAGTTACCTAATACTGTAAAATAGTCATAGCTCAATAATTCAACCAACAAAAAAAAAGTATACCCTTCCCATGATTGTTCATGTTAAGGCCAGAACTATTGTGTATACAAGATTTAGAGCTTTAAAGTATACTTCCATGATTTCATCTATAAGATGTCTACTTATAAACTAGACAATAACATAAATGAACGGTGAAATATAAACTCCATCATTAGCCAAATATTGGTAGGGATATATCTTGTACTTGGGGAATCATTCATAGTACCATCATATGTTACTTGCGAGCTTCCGACTTCTTCTGTTCTTTGGCTGCACAGAAAATATGCAAACATTAACCCTAGCAAATAAAGGAAGAGAATCTTAGACAACCAGCGTGTAAGTATAGAAGAATGTACCAGCTTTCTCCTCCTCTCGCTTTTTGGCAGCATCTGCTCTTTGTTGTCGTATGAGAGCCAAGCGTTCTGCAAAATTACGAGATAGAATTAGAAGTAGCACTTTGCGATCAATAACAGAAGAAACACTGGTTCAAGTCCATGGCACATCATTTCAAAGTTCATTCATATCCAAGTTCTACAAAAGTGGAACAGCACAAAATCAATATATTTTACTTTTAATATGTGCCCAACCAGATGACAACTTATCCACTTCAAGCTTCACAGCTCAAATACAGTCCTTCACATGACCACATATTTACAAATGGTATGCTCATATTCAAGTAACAAGACAATTAAAATTAGACTTAAGAATAAAATTTGGTTCTGATGACAAAAACCTCAATCCATCCACCCAACACCTCAAACAATCTATTAAGTACAGAGAAAGAACTACAAGACCAGATAATTCTAAACAAAACAAATTAAGTCTATTGCTAGAGCATTGCTCTGTGATATTACCTAAATCTTTCTTAGCTTGATCTGTTTTTCCTTGTTCTTGCAGCCTCATATACCTCTCATGAGCTTGTTGTTTCTCTATCTCTTCCCTGTGAACAATTACCATGTAAATTAATAACGACATAGAAGTTAAAAGGACCAGAAGATATGTCACCAACTATGTTACCGCGTTGCATGTATCGGTAATAGAATTAATACACAAGACTTGAGATATTTCTTCCTTCTTTTAGCTTTGACTTGTCAACACCCCAAAGAACACAAAAAATACAATATAATTTCAAAAATATAACAATAACAAAAGGTTACAATTGTTCCCACTGTATGTAATTCAAGTTCATTGACACCCATTGAACCACACACACACACAAGTAGCTGGGATTTTGGATAGAGCGAAGAGTATTTCACATGCAAAGAAGCAGCTATCTGCAACAATGGCCTGGGAATATAGTCTTGTCGCAGAAAAATAATAACTTATCTCGGTTTAAATTCGGGCAGATTTGGCACATCCTGAACTTCCTAGACGTTGACAAACTCTGGCTAAAAGAAATAACTTTGGAAAAGATATTATTCCCTGTACATTCTCTCTGACAAAGGTTGATTACAAGTAAAAGGACCAAATCCTTTCATCTTGAATAAATATATCCCAACATCCTAGCAGTCATATGTCGTAATCATTAGAGTGGTGCAGGCAGTTAAAAAAATTGATGATAGAGAAATCTCAAAGATTAGTGACACAAGGTGTGAAACTCAAAAGATGCAGGACAGTAAAAACAATGAGAAGGAAAAATATATAGGGCAGTTGCTGAAATCCAAGAACAGAAAAGGGAGGGAGTATTCATGCAAAACATATAGGAGACATACAATAAGGCTTCTTTATCTGTGACTTCATTGGGATCGTATTTTAAAGGAAATACAAAAGAAGGTTCAACTAACCTTTCACGTCTTGAAAGCTCAGTTGTTTTCTCAATCTGCACAGAAAATGCCCACATTCAAAGTTACATCCAAAAACAATTAAATTGAAGTATTGAACAAATGCAAGTTCACCGTGCCCCATCTTACATCAACATTTTTAGCTTTCACGTTCTTTGGCTTCACCAAATTGGGGTTCTCAATCTCAATGATACCCTGGGTACCTTTCCGCTTCTGTTTGGAACAATAAAAGAAATGAGCCATCTGAATATACATTTTCCACAGCCACAAAGCATAGAGGACGCAAATTTCCAAATTAAATCAATTTCAACTTTGAAAGTGAGGATTCAAATAGTCAAAACCTCAAATAACTTGAGATTTAAGTATAGTATTTGTCACATATTCTTTTACAATAAGAAGTGCACTAGTTTTTCTAACTAAGGAAATACAAAAAAGATTAAAAAGTAGTAGTTGTCACAAACCGCTTACTCTTTCTTAAAATGTAAAGAAAATGAAGCAATGAATCATAGATAACTGACCTCTCCATCAGAATCTTCTTCAGATTCCTCTTCGGATTTCTCATTTTCCTCAGCTTCAACCTCTTCCTGAAGACCTCAAATTGATCACGCAGAGCACACAAATATAGAAGTTAAGCATGAAGACAATACTAATTATAAAGGCAATTTTCTTTCATCATATATCAGATAATTCATATTATTCAAATCATCAATCTCAGTTTACAAGCACAAGAGAAGATTTTTGATGACTGAGATATATTAACATCTAAGGACACAAACATAGAAGAAAATAGAATAAACATCCCAGACACAACGACAGCATGTCCTTAGAAGGGTAAGTTAATGAGGATGTTTTAACTATTAATAAGGCAACAAAAATGAAAAACTGTTTACAAGATAATGATCACCCGTTTGCACACACAACACAAACGTGACCAACTAACACATTCTAGCTCGTCATGAGAACACATTCACATACCACAAATTGTATCATTTGATAGTCAGACAATTCTTCTCTTACCACATCAAAAAGTTGATCGCAATAGCTATCATTTCACATGGTTATGTTTCATAAAGAAGTTAAGTTTTGAAGTTCCATGCAGTACAATAACCAACACAATTCAAGGAGAACACCCTAAATAATGTTGTGAAGCTGACCCATCAGTGCTAACCCCTCCTTACTAACATGTATACATAGACTAACTTCTAAAAGAAAGAAAGAGAATATAAATGTATTAGGAGCCCAGAAAAACTAAAGCCGGAGATATTCACCTGCTTAAACGTGCGAGGACGTCGAGAAGTACCAGCAACTGCAAAATAAAAGCAAATATCAAGAGCGACTTAGCAGAATATGTGCAATTCATTGCAGACATCCCAACCATGCCAACCATGCCATGTCGGCTCCAACATATCAACTATTTGAATTAATAGATATTTATAACCAGTGCCTTATTTAATAAACAGACTCGAGATAAAGCAGCCTGATCCCACAACTCTGCACTAGCATACAATTTTCAAATGGAAGAGATCTTGTTAACCATTACATGTATGGGAAGACGGAGAAATTGCATGAGCGAAGGGAGGGGAAATAGGAAGAAGGATCACCACTAACAGGAACCAAAAGATCATAGGGTTAGAGTTCCTTCATCATGCATGAATGAAGTCTCCCAGGTTCTTGAAATATTAGTTTGATGTTTGTGCTATATGTCTAAGCCACTCTTATTTGTGTTGTAGGTAATGCCTAAAGAAAAATCCTTTCTCCATTACTTAAGTGTATAAGCACATTAATCTGATATTTCAAGATACTGTAGTTATATTGCACCAGGCATAAACTGAAAACTGAGTTTCAACCTATTAAAGGATTCTACACAATGAGAAAAATAACTACTTTACGCTTTCCTCAAGAACCTGTTTTCTCATTCAAGTTTCTGCTACCAACACAAAGTAAAATCCTTCATGGCACACACACAAAATGAGCACTGCAAGGTTTATGAACATACAACTTCATCCATAATTTTTTTTAAAAAAAACATATCTACAACTACTTCAACTATCCAACTAACCATCAATTATAAGCAAACCTTCACTAAGTAAATTTTCAAACATACTCCCAACTAATTGTAAAAAGCAGCGTGAAAATCCAGCTAAATTCACCTAAGATAATAAAATTCTCCTAACAAATCTACCATAAGAAATTTAAACAAAATCAATTAACGCAACAGATAACGTTCAATCTCCAATCGACCTTTTACCCAAACAAAACAATTCGAATTCCAAGTAATAGATCTCAAAAATTGGTATAACAAATAAAAAAAGGAATCAACTTGGCGGTTCGTAAAGGTAAGTAAAGGAGACATACGCATCTCCTCAGGAGTGGAGAACTGGCGGCGACCAGTAGGCTTTCCCTTGAACTTTCCTCTTCCCATAGCTTTCGCCTTCTCACTGAATGAATCAAAGTTAACAGAAGAAGGAAAGCCAATTGAAGATGGAAAATCGAAGGGTTTGCTAGTTTTCGGAATTTCTTCTCTGCGCAAGAAAAAAAAGGTATTTTCAAAAGAAGAGAAATAAAGGGGAGAAAAAAACCCTAGCTTTTTTGGTTTTTTGGTGAGTGGGGAATATTTATGGTGCGAATGCTCGTATATTAGAAAGATGTTGTGAGTGGGAATCGAACAATTAAAGCGTTTTTTAACGATCACAGAAAGAGTGTATTCCGAATGGATTTGGGCCTTTTCGGTATGGAAAAGGCTTTTAGAATTTTGGGTTGGACCCCTTCGTGGACCTTCGAAAATATATGTGTCGTTTTTTGTATTGCGTCAAGAGAAATGACATAGATAAGATCATTGCTTACAGAGTTTTATTATCAAATTGATCTCAAAATTGAATCCCGGTGTTTTTAAGGGGGGTCTAAGTAAATAGCAAGAAGAAAAGAGAGCTAAGAGATTTTTTTTTCTAGATGAAGCGGTGGAGGTACATTATACTGGGGTGAGGTGATTAGACAGGATATGATGCTATCGAGGACATGGGTTGATATCTTTAATTTCTTACAAAATTCAAAATAATACCTACGAATTTCGTGAGGTTAGTTTTTGCGATCTCATAAGGTTGCTTTGAAAAAGAGACTAAGATTTTTAGGACATACTTTTGAGGTCGTTTTTTACGGTTCTTTTAATGGTGAACTGGTGATGAATAAATGTAAGAGTAGGAATTTAAAGAAGGGAAAAAGGACAAATATGTTTTCGAACTATCGTAAATGATATGCATATACTCTTTATTATACTATTGAGATACTAGAGTCTCTGCCGTCCAAAAACTAGAGCAGAAGTGTCCACTTTTTAAACGGTAGGAACACTAGTATCTCAATAATATAACGAAGGGTATACGTATATCATTTACGATAATTGGGGGTATATTTATCTTTTTTCCCTTTAAAGAAAGAATTCTCCTTTCTATGAACGCCAATTAATTTTACAATGTTGTTGTTTCATTGTTTGCACAATTAATAAAACTGGGACAGGTAATAGTTAATTGATAAAAAAAAGACTTTACAAAAGTATAAGCAGATATTAACTTTAATATTTGTACATATTCAAATGAATTAATTGGCATAAATATATTATTTAAACAAAACCTAGATTCACTAAATTCACATTAGAATTACTAGCTCCGCCCTATAAGTATAAGTACATTTCTCATTTTGATTAACTAAGCTACAATCAAATATTTGCAGGTTTCAAGACCATCTCTGGTGTGATTTTGGAAGAACGAACCTAGGGATTATTCATCTTCATAGGTCCTCTCATTTTATTTATTTTTTATTTATACAATATTCAACCTTAGTATATTTTAATGCATAAATGATCTCAAAGAATTAAACGATGCAATATCATAAGTTACAATTCAACTTACTTTACGTAATAATGAAACATAGAACTTAGCTAAATTGTGCTCTAACATATTTTAAGATCCAGAAATATATATATGTACATCTTTTAAACAAAGAAAAAATCTTTTTGGCCAGAAAATTTTATCAGAATTTGGTCAGAATGGTATTTTACTTATGTTATTTTACCCTTTTAAACATTTTTACCCTTTTAACTTTAATACATTTTAATTAAAAAATATAAAAAAAGATCAATTTATTTTAAAATAAAAAATATATTATAATTTTTTAAAATTTCTGACCAAATTTTCTGGTCATTTAGCATTACCCTTAAAACAAAATTATAAGTTTTCAAATATCTTCATAACTAATCTCTACAACTATACTTCTTTTCAGTATTAGACAAATTTTATATCTTTGACTATTCATTTTCCAATGCGTTTTCCAATGCATCATGAAGAGGAAGGAAGAAGCAACGGATTAGTGACATCTAAGACTAGTTTCGCTTCCTTACTTGCTTACTATAGTTGCTTATTTCCTCTTATCGACAAGCAAGGAGTTTTCTCACCAAATAGCAGCTGCACCGATGAAACAAGGGAGTTTTTTCGCAGAGACAGGGGAAAACAAGCATTCAATGAGGTATGATACCACACAAGAAAAACAAGTTGCAGCAGATTGTAGACCAATGTACAAGTGTATCTATTTATTTGCGACATAAGTCTCAGCTTACAACCGATTAACGACCGACTTCAAGGAAGTAAGGGAATCAAGCCGGTAAGCCAATTCTGTTTCAGGTACGACAAGTCCATTTTGCACTTGAAGTGAGCTTGAGTTTGCCTGATCGTCTATAGGATTAGCCTCGCGAGTAGGGACTTTATTTATTGTATCGATCTTTCAGACTGGCTCAATAGGGTCCCATACCTTCAAAAGAATAAGGCGGAGGGAGGGCTAATTTTGGAAGATAGTAGGCCCTTTCTTCAGAATAATCAATTAGGTTATAATCCTACGCACGTCTGGAAAATACTTTGGCGCCTTCCCTACAGGAACTCAGTCTTGCTTCCATCGCCGTAGCCTTTGCTATGCCTCATCTTTCCTTCTTCGGGCTAGGGCACTTGTGTAAGCACAACAATGAACCGCGGCAAACCCTCAAACGACCTATCTAAGATTATGAGGGGATCCTCAATAGTGGCGACCCTTTCACTCTTCAACAGACTGATACATGTACCGAATGCGCATACGGGAAAGTTGACTCCTACGTTTGGAACCAGGGCGGTTGCTCTAAGAAATCATTTTTTTCTCGTCCATTCAGGAGGGTGCGAACACACCTGCGCGGATTACATGCGATAGTTACAAGAATGACAGGAAAGTTAACAGTACCCGACGACATTCAGGGATGGATGTAGACCCATCGGGCAGGGATAATCATTCCGGTCCTGGTAGAAGTGGCGACCATTCTCAAGAATGAAAAAGACTGCGCTGAGGGAAGCCCTATGAGTCACTGAAATGACGGCAGGAGTGCCCTTTTTCTATCAACAGATGGAAGTTCTTTTTCGCGATATAGATGTAATTTCATTAATTCAGTACTTAAGGTCTTCCCTCGTCAAACGAATAAAAAAAGGTTGGCTTTTCGTTGTGCTCCTTTTTTTCCGTTATAGGGCGGAGAGATGGAGGCAACTGAAACTTTTAGAGTTGAGTTTACGCTCTTTCCTCCTCTTTCGATAAATTTTTCATAGTCGTAGTCGTACTCTGAGATAGAGAGAATCCCGGGATGCATAGCTCTTAGAATAGCTTATAAACGAGATCGTATAAACCTACCCCAGTGGTCATCTGATACTAGTAGAAGTGGCTATGGTAAAAATGCTTTCCAATCCGTCACGTCGTCCCATCCTCCTAATGATATATCCAGAACTTCTTGTTTCCGGGGGCGAATCTATCAAATTTGATCAACCATTAACGAGTAATCCTAATGTAGGCAGATCTGGTTAGGGCGATACAGAAATAGTATTTCAAGATCTATTACGTGTCCAAATACTTTTGTTCTTCTTGGCATCTGTTATTTTGGCACAAATCTTTTTGAGAAAATCTGAAAGGGGTTCCGTACCTTATTTCCCTTCAGCGTTATTACGCTGGGTGTTATTCTAAGAATGACACTATGTCTGTTCCAGTTTCATTGACCCGATGTGGAATTTACAAGATCATACATGCGGTATTACGAAAACACGTAAGGGCAAAGCCTGATCATGGTGATTTTTTGGTCAGGATATATCTATCTTGGTTTGGATTATCAAAATAGATTGCAGTGGCTCCTAAAGTGAAGAAAGACACTTTCCAATCAATTACGACTCCTCACTCAGATATTGATAGTATCCGTGAAGTTCTTGGAGAAATGAAATCTTTCAAGTCTTTGCAACCGAAGTGAGCCGAGGAGCCGAGTGACGTGCCAGCGCTACTAATTGAGTGTCAACACCTAGCTGTGCTGTCAGTATGAAGGTAGTCGGCGCCTTTCAAAGCACTTTCTATTTCTAGTTAGCGCTATTTTTTTATTGCAGCTAGCACGCTTGACTAATAAAGGTCCTCGCCCTCTTAGGCACATGATTCTAAAGATTCAATCTCAAAGCGGTACTAAAGATTAGGCAGAAGAAGAACTATAACTAGAATTCTTCGCCCCTCCCCTTGTACCAAGAAGCAAGTTCGAAACATAAGGATAATGGGCTCGTCTATTATAAGTTATTAGTTTACGGAGCTATCTCAAATATCTCGAGTAAGGAGACAGGACGGGTTTGAAAGGGAAAAAGGACAGGGTCTTACTTACTTAAAAGTAAAAAAAAAAAGGAAGTTTCATGTCTTAGTTTCACTTCCTTGAACTGGCTACTACCGCACATCGTGCCCTTGCTTGGTGGGTCGTTAATTAATCAGTTTTTAAAAAAGGGATGGATTTCGACCTTTCTTTGAGTCGTTAGGCTAGTAAAGCGCTACTTCTAAAACGATCGTTAAGGTCATTCACTCGATTCCCTGCTGTCCGTTCATACCTTACAGCGAGTATGATAGATGTCTATAATATTTGGCTTACTTTCGAATTCATTGTTGGAGAAAGCAAAAATGATTCCTTCTGGTTGTCAGATCTTCTCACCCTGTCTGCTTTGGCTGTCTGTTCGTAATGTTTCATTCTTTTCTTCGATTGATTGAATTATGAAATGGAATCATGAATTAGATTCGAACCAATATTGCTTTTGTGACTTTCCCTTTAGTCGATCATGATGGGAAGATCCCGCTGCCCCAAGATCTCGGCACCCCTCTCACCGAAAGGTGAGATATTTGCCTAACCAATACCAATGCGATCCATTTCTTTCCATTCCTCTCCGGTCCGGTCCATTATGAATTGATAGTATTCCATTCCAAATCCTTCCCAATACCTCCCAAGGAAAATCTCTAATTTGGATCCCAAATTGACGGGTTAGTGTGAGCTTATCCATGCGGTTATGCACTCGTTGAATAGGAATCTGTTTTCTAAAAGATCCTGGCTTTCGTACTTTGGTGGGTCTCCGAAATCCTTTCGATGACCTATGTTGAAAGAATATTTATCTAATCCAATTGATTGCGTAAAAGCCCGTGGTAGCAACGAAACCAGGGAAAGTATACAAAAAAGACAGTTCTTTTCTATTATATTAGTATTTTCTATTATATTAGATATATTAGACTATTATATTAGTATTAGTTAGTGATCCCGACTTAGTAAGTCCTTTTTTCCGTGATAAACTGTTGGCACCAGTCCTACATTTTGTCCCCTTAACCTTGAGTAGAAGGACAAGAAAGAGATTATTGGTTTTCTTTCTCCCGCTTCTTCATCTGCGCTCATCAAACCAACTTTGCTCTTTGGGAGATGAAAGAGAGGTCGAAGCAGACATTTTGAAATGACAACATCGAAGATATATTTCTATATATACATGGTTACAATTATCTCGAAATGTGTTCCAGAAAAAGCAGCCTACTTGTGGGACACTGTGTACTTATTGCATCTACGATAAGCAAGTGAATGTGACTGGTGCGTGGCAAACGGTTCATCAAGCCATTTTTTGCCTCAACTCCCTAAATAGGAATAAGGATAATTTCCAAATTCGGGTAAGAAATTCGCACCTGACTGTGATAGTCCTCTTGATACCTTTATATTCCCAACAAATTAAATTGAAATATTAAAAGCTTATAAGGAAATAACTACCACTATTTATAGCTATCCCATCACTACTAATGCTTGCCATCCTCTCATAATTGACTGTATGAAAAGGACACAATGAATCTACAAAAGAACATTAAAAAAAAAAACTCTCACACTTTAATTATTTATTCATTTTTGAATTGAGACACCTACTTAAAAAGCAATGAATAACATAGTGAGTTTATCATTTTACTCCTATTAATTATGAAGTAAGTGAATTAAAAACTTAAGATTTTCAAGAAGTTCTATCTTTTTCAAAGTAATTAATTAAGGATATAATAGATAAAAAAAATTTATCCTTTCTTAATTTGTCAAAATAGACAAATATAACTAAAAAAAGAAAAAATGAACAAATAATTAGGAACAGAAGAAATATTATCTTTTCGTGCGTATATGTATATCTAAAAGATTAGTACGGACAGAGGAATTCAATTCTTGATTATTGATTATATAAATATGACCTATCTTCATAGAAATATTATTTTATTCAATAAGCATAGTGCATGTTTAATAGTATGTCTTTATCTTACATGGTTTAACTTTTAACATATTGGATCTTAATTTATTACTTAATTGCATTGTATCTTAATCTACTTGTACGATATAACATGGTTTAACTTTAACATATTGGATCTTAATTTATTAATTGTATCTTAATCTACTTGTACGATATAATTAAGACACTACTATAACTACACATTATAAATACACATAGATAAAATCTTACCGACATTAGTTAATTGGATACAATGTCGTTATAGGTTATAAAGATATTTACAAAAATGTTAAGTGCCACTTAAAACGTAAATTTGATGTTAGTTACAGCTAAAGATCATTTTCGGAGAAAAAATATTTTCTTTCTTCCAACTTTTGTCAGTGATCGATGGATCAGTGGAACTATATATTCATATTTTATTTTGTAACTAATTACTACCTTGTACTAATTACCGTACATTCTTATCTTTAAGTTTTAAATTCATTTAACAGATATGTACTACTTGTTTATCAATATCCAATTTTAGGATTGAGATGTTTCAGTCTATTCAATTCTTCATTTCTTTACATGAAATAATTCATCGATTAAATTTATAACTCGCCTTATCACATCATGCATGTGAAATATATCTAACATATGAGTAAATAATAAATTTGATTGAGTTCTTTTTAACGATAGTCATAAATGATGTGCGAAAGGGTCTGAAATTTAATGAAGTACAACATTTAAATAGCCCTTCTTAAAAACATGTATACAAAATTAACAAAACAAGTTTAACTTAAGGTGCAGAAAGTACAACTTAATTACAACACACTCATATGTATTTTTGCATATGATGTGTTTGTAATAACCTTTATTCAAACATTACATGGAATTAAAGAAATAAAATTAAAATAGCAAGTACATTAAACTCCAAATTAAATTAAACCTCAGCCACAACTATGTCATACTCCTCTCGATCATTGAGAACCCATTTTCCATCTTCTTGTTGAACCATTCCTTTGTTCTTCACAGTCCACCAATTTGCTGGGACAAGATACTCACTTTTCAATGCACCTGAAGATTTGTTAACAAGCGCGATATCACGATCCACCTCTAGTTTAAAACCTGTTAAAAGTCCTATACCTTGAGTTCCCGCAACTCCATGCATGTAACACTCCAAATTATGCCATGTGAGGATATCTCCAGGGAGATTTAAATAAGGGGATTTTGTGGTGTCGATTATTATTTCCTGCCCAACGTCGAGATAGCCAATAGGTGGGTATTTTGGAACAATATCCAATATGTTATGAATTCTCATGATGTGAAGGTGTTTCAATTTGTTAAATGCGTTAACAAAATTGAGATCTCCAACTTTAGGACTTGCAAATACAAAAGCTGTCACTGGAAATTCCTTCCCATTACTTGACTTGTTTATTTTATTGTAAGCTATGTCAACTGCATTCAGAGTCGCAAGGGATGCACCTAGGCTATGCCCAGTCACAGTTATGCTCACCTCTTCATTCTTATATTCCTCTACCAATCTCTTCACTTCTTCAAGGACCTATACGTAACGTACTTTTTAATTAAATGGCATTAAATCAAAATATATGTGCGAATTCAAGGTCAAAATTATATATACCTGATCTCTAGCACTTGTTTTATTAAACTTTGATCGTGCACTTTCTGATGTATAAACGTTGTAGAATCCATGATCTGAATTGTTCCTCTCCAAGCAATCACAATATCCCTTCTTCCTAGTGAAACTTTACCCTCATCAGTAGCCACAGCAACATATCCCATAAAATTCGACTCCTTACTCCATGCTTCTCTTGACAATGATTTCGTAATGAAAGCATCAGGAAGTGGAAAATTTGATTCCGTAATGACAGTATCAGGAAATGGCATGGATGAAGTAGCATAGAAATATTTGGTTACGCGATACTTCGATGCATCAAGGCCAACATTAGAAAAAAGATTTTCCATCGAGTATCTGCTAGCTCCTGCATATTTTGATGCTTTATCAGAAATGAAGGTGTCGTAAGTCACTTCAGCTTTTTCTCCATATTGAATGATATATTTACGTAGATCAACATCCAAGGGGTTTAATAACCCATCCCAATTTTTTTTCCCACTAAGTTCCTCCCATTTCTCAGCCATGCTAGACATTTTTTTTTTTTCTTTTTGTTACTCTTAGTTTTTTCTTGGTATGTGAACTACATTAAGCCCATGAATTTATAGGGAAGCAACTTCGTTGATCTCTTAAGGTTTTTCAATTTTCATGCATGAAACACGTTTTGATTTTAATTTTTTATTTTATTTTTGTGAATTATTGTCATAGTCCAGTAATAAATGATTTAACCAAGAAAGCATTAAAAATAGTACTAATAAAATAATGATTTCCATATTGAATTTCTGAACTACTACCACCATTAGCATTTCGCTGTTTGGCCATATGAAGAACATTTTGGCATATTTGAAATAATATATAGGGAGTATTAACTTCAAACTTCAAATATAGAATTAAATTGCATCAAGTTTTAACTTGCAAAACTTCAACTCGGTCTGTTTTACCAGCAAGGTTGTGGCGGAGGGGTAATTACTTCTCCATCTTTAATCAGAGGTTTCGGGTTTGAGTCCCTCTAGAAATAGAGTCACTTTGTGGGACTTCTCGGCGGGTATCCAGATTTAATTGAGCCCCATTATGAGTATTGAACATCGAGTGGGAAATCGTGAGTATCAGCGCTTAGGTATTAATTTATCCTTCCTTAATTTATGTTTCTAATTTGTTTTAATACAAAACTTCAAGTAGATGATAGAGCTTTGTATTTTTATTTATGTGTAAATAAGGGATTCGGATCCTCTCCATTTTCCTTCCCTTCATTTTTCTCAAGTTCTTGCTTGGATATGAGACACATGACATAAGTAAAAACTAATGGTTAAGATTTAATTGAATAAACAGAAGATTTTAATTATGATTTAGATAATTAATACTTCATAAGAAAAATGTCAAGACCACAATCATAATAATATATTATCTTGTCCATAAATATTTTTTTTTTCTTACTAGTATTATCTTCTGTTTTTGTCCATAAATATATTATAAAATAATTTCTCTTTTTCTAATTATTTTTTCCCTGCGAGTATTTTTTTCTATTAATTATATGTACACTAATTTCAAAGAGAAAGTTCAAAGTTGCTTTCTAAGACCTACTCATTTTTATTTTTATTTTAAAAAACAAATGGAAGATAAATACTCATAGGAAAAAAATTTAGAAAAGAGAACAGTTTTTATAATTTATTTATGGACAAGATATTATATTGTTATGACTTATGATTATGGTATTATTATTTTTCTTATGAAATATTAATTATATAAATCATAATTAGAATATTATTTTCATCTAAATTTTAGCCATTGATTTTTATCTATGCCATGTGTCTCACATCCAAGTAAGAACTTGTGAAAAATGGAGGGAAGAAAAATGGAGAGGAGCCGAATTCGTAAATAAGCTACTTATTGAATAGTTTGAATTTGTAGAGGGGAAAAGTAAGTTCCAAATTACATATTATTTGACAATAGAATAACGAAAATCATATAATATAGGTGGATTTCATCACTTTATTAATGCATTGGTAAGAAACACCAACCAACTTGCTGATTGTTTTTTCCGACTACCTAAACTTATTACTTAACAAAATTCATTTTTAACGTGCGTGCATTTTATAATATTTGATAGAATGATTTTCATTAGGCGCGGTTAAAATTAAATTATAATTGATAATATAATTTAGATGTATTTATTGGGTTGGATTATCGAATTAATGATTTGAAAGAGACAATTCTTAAACAGAAAAAAAAAAAAAAAAAAAAAAAAGATAGTCGGAAATTTTAGGAAAAATCTTTTTGATTAGAAAAATTTGGCTAGAATGGTAAAAGGACATGTTCACACTATAAACTAGTTTGTTTTTGGACATTTTTGCCCTTTAACTCAAATATTGAATATATTCTTCAATTATGTTTCCAATGCATTGAAAATGATTGATGAGATTAATTATTTATGATTTCATAGTTATACATTAAAAATGAACCACAAAATCCACCAAAGAAAACATAAGTTTTACCCACTCTTCTCTCTTGAAATTTTCAAGATCTAAAAAAAAAAAAATTGTTTTAAAAAAAATTAAAAATGTAAGCGTAGTAATAAAAAACTAAATAATAAAAAAAGTAGTAAAAAATATATCTCTTTTTCAGTTTCAAAAATTCCTCCTTTTTACTTATTCTTTTTTGTTTATTTATTTTCCATTTCTTATTTCTTAATGATAAAAAGAGAAAATTTAAAAAGTATAAAAGAGGAGTAAAGTGTAGATGATCTAGTTTAGTTTATAATTTCTAATCTTGAAAAGATAAATTATATCTAAATTTAAATATTAAAAATTTATATCTATAATACTCAAAATTAAAAATCTGAAATCTACCGAGTTGGCAAAACAATTACTCCTATTTATTTCAAGAAGTTGATGTTACACATCGATTTCTAGAAAGAAGTTAAATAATAAAAATATACTTTATTTGATTATACTTAGAATGTATGTGAGCGAAATATGAAGAAAATTGAAACTATAATAATGTTTCTCTTATTATGTGATTGTCTTCATATCCTCAATCTTATATGAATCATATCATACACAAATAAAGACTCATTAAAATTAATATTTTTTTATATTTTGGTACTAGAGACGTATACAAATATTTTTTGGATAAAAATGTTGATGGCACTTCATTGAAAAATTATAATAACACGGAAAGGATATAGAAAGTTCTTTATGATTTCAAAATAAACTTTTATAAAAGAAATTGAACGAAAAACATCTTCATAGTTCTCCGATGATAATGACAACACAAATTTGTTAAGCATGAACTATCAAAGTTTCATAACATATATATTTTTCTTTATTGGTATTATTTGTTGTTTTATAAAAAAAAATGTTTGTTATTAAATGATATGTTAAAATATTAAGTTTACATAGTTATAGTCATAATATTAATATTATTTTTCCCTCAAACTAATATTTTTTTGAAACTGATTATGAATTTTTATAATTAAGTAATTTTTTTTGTATTTATTATATAAATAAATTTAAATTACATTTTACATAATTTTTTAAATATATGTAAAATAGTTTAATAATAACAGTGAATACTCAAAACACTCTAGTTCATATGTACAACCCTAGATAACAAACCAAAAGAGCCAAATATTGTAGTCTTGTGCCCCTGTGTTATGTCAGTTTGATGGTTTGAGAATCATTACTTATATTTGTTACTAATATGAGCTCTAATTAGGTAATTGTAGTAATTATTAGTATGTTAAAAAAAATTAAGCTATGCATAAAAAATAAAAATATAATTTGAAAATATTTCAAAAATGACAATCAAAACTCAAAGTACTTTAACATTAGTATACATTGACACATTATAGAAATACTTAAAATCATATGGTCCATAAGCGACGATTCTATTTAACAATAACCGAAGATAGTTACACATAATGTTATAGTTTTGCATATTTGCTAATTATGTTTTAAAAAATTAAACTACATGTTTAAATAATTAAGTGATATCCCTAGTTAATAACAAGCTAAGAGTATTTCAAAAAAAAAAAAAAAACAAGCTAAGAGAGTGTTTACACATTAATGTTACAGTTTTGCTCCTCTATATTATATCGACTTGATAACTTATAAATTATTATTGATACTTGTTATTAATATGAGCTCTAATTAAATAATTTAACGAATTATTGTGTTTAAAAAAATTTAAATTATATATTACTATTTTTTAATATAATATAAAAATATTACAATAAAAACAATCAAAACTCAAAACACTTTATAGAGATCAATATATTATAAAAATCATAAGATTCATATTATAACTTATAAGTATCAATCCTAATTAATTACACTAAACATTTGTATACTATATATGTTCAATTAAAAATAGACCCTCTATATTTTGAAATCAAACGTTCACATCTTCTATATTATAAAAATCATACAATTTTTTCCACCAATAATGTTATTTCTAATTTCCTAAAAAAAATATAAACATTGTATAGAATAAATGTTCTGCGTAAATGAAATTCTATCTAACTAATTATATATACATAATTTTAAAGCAAGAAAATAAATAAAAAGAAATTATATATAATAAATATTACATTTAAATAAAATTATAAATAATGTACGTATTTAAATTAAAAGAAAGTTATTACTAACCGTTGATATATCTTATTAACTAATTTGTATCACTTAACATTTTAAAAAAATATTAATTATTTTTAAATCAAATGCATGAATGAAAATTTTATTTCCATTTTAAAATTTTGTTAGAATAATTTCACAAAAACTATATATTTATAATTTTAGTTTATCGTTTAATAATTTATTTTAATATATTTAGTTATAGATAAACTCATTGAAAGTGTAAGTATAGAATTTTCACACTACATGAAGCGTAAGTGTGTTATTTTAAAATTAAATTATAATATAATTTTTTTTATATATTAATTATTTATATACAAAAAAATATGAATTTATATCTCAAAAACAGTGTTTTTTCTGTTATCTTATAGAGTTGCTTTATTGGAGACATAAAATAGATATTTATTTTTGTTAGTTTCTTTTTTAATTTACTCCACATTTTTAATTTTTTTTAAAAAGAGCCGGGAGAATTAAATAAAAGGTAAGTTAAAGAAGTAGAATGACGAAAAACGAGAAGAAAAATGAATTTGACGAAGAAACAAAACTGTTAAATATTTTATTAGGTGGGATTCAAAACATTAATCTTATCAAAATAATAAATGCTTTATACAATTTACTAGAAAAGAGCAAGCCTTAATTTGAAGAAAAAGGGTTATAACTGTCTTTTCAAAATTCTGGCCAAATTTTTTTGGCTGTTTAGCATCTCTCGAAATTTTATATGTTAATCCATTTGTCTAAATTCTTATAAATAATGAATTATCAATTTAAGAACGAATTGTCTAATTTTTTTTTATCGAATTAATCAATAATATGTTAACCCATTTTACTTGTCCCCTGTCTCCTCTCCCACTCTAAATTACTTTAATTTGCTTCAAAACATCTATCATCATTTGCTACTGATCACTCCAATTACTATTGTCATTGTCTATATATATATAATAAAAAAAATTTACTCCT